CAGGTTGGCATCCAGCGTATTGGTGCATTACCGCCACCTTCTGCTCCGGAGTGTGGATCAGAAAGCTTCCGTTCTCATAGCCGTCAAAATACAATTCCGGCCTCGAAAACATATCGGCCGATGCCGATATTTGAGAAATGCCAAATATCGGCCGAGGCGATATATCGGTTGACCACATATATATAAATATATATAAAATAGCTGATTAATATTTTTTGTGGAAACTAAGATAATAATAATAATAATAATATTATTCAGCATTGATAATAATATTATTCTTTTTCACATATTTCTTGAGCAGCAAATCAGCATATGATTTCATATGAATGATTTGTGAAGCATCATGTGTAAATTAAATTTAAAATGAATTAAAATAGAAAATAGAAAATAGTTATTTTAAATTGTATTAATATTTCATAATGTTACTGTTTTACTATATTTTAATCAAATAAATGCAGCTTTGCTGAAAATAAGAGACTTTTTTCAAAAACATTAAAAAAATATTTCCAACCCCAAAATTTGAACAGCAGTGTAAACACACACACAGAGACACACTATGATTAACTCACAGAAGAAAACAGTGAAGATCGTAACTGATCTTCCAGTGGAACAAATGACTGTAGCCTTGAACAGTCGATAAAGCCTCTGTCATTTTAGTGTCTCGAGAAAAGGAAATAGCTGTCAAGATTTCTACCTTTACATTTTACCATAAAATGAACACCTATAATGGCTGTCTCCAAGGCTCTTATTAAGAGTGAGATTTATTATCTAAAACATTACTGTCAGAGTGTCTATGTTCTGTATGAACTGAGAGGAAGAATATGTTCATTATAGATAAATCAAATCCTCTGGTGGGTCTGCGCTTCTCTGAATATTTAATCTGAACTCATATGTCAAAGAATACTAAACTGTACCGATTAATATTCACAGGTAAAGAGTGTTCTTAAGAACAACGTAAAGCAGAGCTATATGCCAGGTTTCATTTCACAATGCACTGCTATGACATTATCAGCATAAAACTGGTGTACGGCAAAGATTTATCCCACATTTTACAAATATTGTTCTTCCACAGGCTTCAGAACCATTTTCTATCTCCTAGTTTCCTCTGCAATTCAATGCTTTATACATAACAGACAAATTTAAACTCCCCACTCAGGACAGCTTCTTCAATATTTAGTCTATGATGACACAAAAAACTGATTCAAGGTCTCAAGCTGCCTTTTGATTCTCACTGAAAGCTGGAAAGTTTTCTGGAAGCACATCTATGATGAATAGCTCCCCCTAGAGTATGAGATCGGCTACACACATGCCCTTCTTCAACATTGAAGGAAAATCTGTTTTTCAATACAATGACATATTGCAAATATCTCTATCTGAACTCAGCAGGCAGAACATTTAGTAATGCCATCTGCATTATGATGATATTTTAGTTCATTTTGAAAAATTTTCAATTTGTACTGATTAAAAAGTACTATTTTAGTCCATAAAAAATAAGTGCAATTCAATTTTAAACACACAGCTGGGCATAAACAAGGGTTGTTAGCAATGCTCATCTCTGATTTCAGTCACAGAGTCGCTCTCAGGGAACACGATGCAAGGAATCAATATTTGAAGTAAATTACTCTTAAATGAGTGCGAGTCTTATTTAAAGTGGATAAGATTGTTCAAGTTTAAGAAGTTGTGTTTCTGTGAGAAGATCTTCATGCAGCGACTCAAACGGGATTCCTCACATGAGAGGACGGGATCCTTTTAAAGGCATCATTGTTTAGCTTTTGAGTTCCTTTTCTAGTATAAATCAAAAGTAGGATCATTCAAAGCAGCACAGCAAGAAAAAGAACAACAACAACAAAAAAACACCAGCAAAATTATTGTCGCAGCTAACAAACCTTTGAAGGAGGATATCTTAGAGAGAGAGAGAGAGAGAGAGAGAGAGAGAGGGTGAATGGATAACAATCTAAAAACAATATAATATCATATTTATTACTGTTTTTAGAATCGCTCTCTCTCTTTCTCTTTAATCAGTTAAAAGTAAATTAATATTAAATAAATTAAAAAGGATAAAATATTTTAATTCACCTCTAGCTTTAATTTACTACTAATTCTGGAGAGAAAAGACGTTTTTATTATTACTATTTTTTTAAATTTCTTTTAGTTTTTACTAAATCTAAGCATCTAGGTAAAGTTAAATTATGTTTATGATATATCATTTGACATTAAATTACAACACCAGTAAAACTTGGAAGAGCACATCTATATGATACAACTCCAAACGATAGACAGTGATCCCAGTGTGTCCAGTTTCTGAACATTATGCAAACCCCCCACAACAACCAACAGTCTCTATAAATACATCAGTCTCACCACTTTATACATCAATATCTTCATGTGTGAACTCTTGAACCATCCAGGTGTTAAAGACTCTCCATGCCACAGCATGCAGGTGCTGCTGCTGCATCATTCCCTAAACAAGCATGAGACAGAGAAGAGAGAAAAGATGGGACTCACTCTTAGAATGAAGCTCTTTCCATGCACCAGGTCTCTTGTACACGGACGTTTGTGATGAGTTTATGCAGCCGGTCACAGTAATGCGCATCTGTGTGCAGGATGAGACACACACAGAGTAATCTGACCTTCTGAATACAGACCGAACCATTGACACAGGGGGAGGGATGGATCATACCAAATCCTTTATGTCACATACACAGGGAATGATTTATTTAGAAAGTCAGTTTTTCCTGAATAACAATGAAGGTTAACATCATATGAACAACATACAAAAATATCTATTATAAATATTTACTAATATATATATATATATTATGGTTATATATTGCATATTGCAACCAGCAAGTAAAGGCAAAGATAACAAAATACAGAAATATCCAAAAAGTATTATAGTATAGTCATAGCATTAAAAAATCTGTAAAAATAGGGCACAATGCACTGTATTAATATGAAGGAATATGAAGGAATTTGTGTTTATATATAGAAATAAGTATGATTTCAGTAATTAAATTTAATTGTTAAATGTTCTTGAAACCCCGCATGATTTCCAGCTGTCATCCACTCACTGGCACTATATTATCTAATCTGCAGCTTTCATATAGATGAATGGAGCTACTAATCAACATGACTAGTTTCAAGGTTTTTCACCTTTATGCTTTCCCTGACAGGAATATTGCTGTTGGACGTGTTCTAGAAAGTGTTTTAATGCAGTAATATAATCTGTTCTGGCCTTGTTCGATCCCCTCGCTGTTCAGAGCTGGAATCGAAGAGAAGATGAAACCACATTAAACTGATATGGTCTAAAACTGAATATAAAGTCTTAAGATTGACTCAGACTGTTTTTTCAAGGTCAAAATTGTTTGCATTCTTATGTCAGTTCTGAGAGATGTATCATAAATGATTGATTGTATTTACATGCTCAATCATTTTATACCTGCAGTTCGAGATTGATTAAATTCTAGTTTGCTGCTCTCATTTCAAAATTTCTTTCAGAGGTCATTCTCTGTTGTCATCAGCTGTTGAAGTCAAAGACTGGATTTTCCCTGCAGAAATGAAGACTTGTTACCATATTGATTGATGGCGAGTGTCCACCGCAATAGGTGGAAATCGATGGGCGCTGTGTGGATACCAAGAGAGCTGTGCCTCTGATGCCTTCCCATGAGCACCCTGGTGGGCTCTCATAAATAAGTCAGTGAATCAGTGGGTAGACAGAGAGATTTGAACCAGTGATGAATTGTGTTAGCATCCTCAGCTGCCTGTACCAATGTAGTACAATTTTGGGCAGTTTCCACAAAAATGTTAAGCAGCAAAAACTCTTGTCAACTTCAATGATAATAATAACTGTTTCTTGAGCAGCAAATCAGCATATTAGAATGATTTCTGAAGGATCGTGTGACACTGAAGACTGGAGTAATGATGCTGAAAATTCAGCTTTGCATAAGGAATAAATTACATATAAAAACACATTAAAATAAAATTTTAAATGCTCTTTTAAATTGTAATAATGTTTCACAATGTTACTGTTTTTACTGTATTTTTGACCAAATAAATGCAGCTATGGTGAACATAAGAGACTTCATTACTTCAACTTTTGGTCACCAGTATATGCAATGCTGCCTTAGAACTTGGGATGTATACAGGAGCATATGTTGCCAAAATATTTTGAACAGTCATGAGCGCACCTATAGTGCTTTCAAATACCATCTCAAGGTTTTTTAACAAAGCTCTAGGGTTTGTATCCCCTTTTATCTACATGCACTGATGTCTGAGAGGTCATCATTATCTGTATGGAAGACTGACTGCGGAACAACAGGGTTGAGATGGCAGCCACAGGAACAGATGACCTTCAGCAGAAACTTACGTTGTAGATACTATAGCGCCCCTCTTTCACATGTCTGTCAGATACTGAGGCAGTCACATGACCCTTATTTCCACATATTAGTGAAGAAAGCAAGAAAAGCCACTATTTGCATGAGAAAGCGCAACATATTTACACATGTCAGGATTCTCATGAATGTCATAATAGCTTGCTAAGAGAAAATGTACATTTCCAGTGCTTGCTAACAGTCATGAAGCACACAGGAGACGTTTCTCCATTTTTTCACATTGTTTACTTTGTTTTCTGAAGCAGATACAACACATTAGTCCCCGTGAGGTGAATTTTGATGAGCTTTTCTCACCTATAGAGACTTGTTACATCTATTATCAAAATGAATAGGAAACTGAAGGTTTGTTTACAGGTGAATTTTGAAGCAATTTATTGTATTTATGTAAATAGAATACAAAATATGTGATTTTAATCATCTTTCAGAAAGGGTCCAAATGATGTCACTTCCTGGGAGTCATAAATTTTAGGTAATGTTACATGTGGGGAAATCACGTGTTAAGAGGACTGCATTCAAAATGTTTTTTTTTACTATACAAATACAATGAAATACTATTTTTGACATTATTGTATGATTTTAAAATTAAAAAATCATACATTCAAAATAAAAAAAAATCATGGTTTTGAATAATTGAATCATTTTAAAAAATAGTTTTTTACTACAGTGAAATACTGTTTTTTTATATTATTGTATGATTTTAAAATAAATACAATTATACATAAAAAAAATCATGTTTTTTTGGCAATTAAAATGAACAAATAATGAATTTTTACTACAATATCAATTTTGACATTATTTTATAATTTTAAAATAAAAAAAATCATACATTCAAAATAAAAATCAAAATTTATGTTTTTGACAATTAAAACAAATGTCTTTTTTATGTTTATATATTATTACGTTCCCAGCTAGTCTAGGGTTAGTAACAGAATAGAAAAGGTGATGTGTGGAGGCAGCAAGATTCAATTCCCAACCCCAGAGCTTTAACAAAGGCCAAGAATCTCGATATCAAAACAAGTTATTTTATTTGACAGATATGGGAGGATGTCAAAACTTCAAGAGGGGGCAAGGCCAAAATAACAAACATAAACCCTCTAACTATTTGGGAGAAACTAACTAAACTATACAAAGAAAAGAAAAGAAAAATACAATAGATATAACTACCTCCCTAATTAGCATAAACAAGAGAAAAACAAAATAAAGAAAATGGCACCCACCAGTGGGAATATATATATATATATATATATAGAGAGAGAGAGATTTTTTTTTCTTTTCTAGTTAAAAATATTTTTTATATATTTTATAATTTATTGCAGAGAAAAAAAAACTAAATGCTTTTTTTTAAAAAATACGGGACAGTGCCATATACTGTATTCTTTAAAAAAAAAAAAAATCACATTTTGATAGGTATTTTGTGATTGACTTTAAAAGATACTTAATTTCTTTGGTGGACAGATTAATTTGGAAAACATCGCTTCAAGCAGCAATAACTCAGATCTTGCATTAATTAATTCTGCACCTTTTGAATCTTATGCAGCATTTGGGAAATTCAAGCAGCGAACGATTCAAATCACATCTGATAAACGATTTAAAAGGAAAATGATGGAGAGCTTTGAAGTTTTTCATGACATTTGAGCAGAATATTTGTGACGGCAGAGTCCATATTGAGCAGAAAAGCCCCCGAGCCGTTGGATGGACATGTTGAGGGTAGAATTCCTATTGGCAGGAAATCAGGTGGGGAGATATGAGCACCTGCTTTTTGCTTTGAGCAGCCAGCAGAGGCCAACAATGCCCGTCAGTGATAAGACTCCCCGCGATACGTTTTCCTGTGAACCCCGCATATCTGATAAACAGATACCGCAAATGGGAAATGGGTTTTCATGAGCGCTTATGTTATCTCAATTACAGCTACATCTCTCATGGCTGCGGGAAAACGTTGGCTTCAGAATATGCTGTTACTGAGAACTTAAGAATAAATCTTTCTCTTCAGCATGGCTTTCTTCAGGCCTAGAAATTAATTAAGGGATATTTGTGCAGGATATACGAACTGTGCAAAGTTTAAGAATAAGAACCTTTCTGGGAAAAGTGGAGTCAATGGATAGTAGGAAATAAAGTCATGCTTGCCTGAATAATAAGTTGTTATTCCTTTCTGCACTTTTGCATGCGTTTGTTAGGAGACGTATACCTTTGTTCAAACTCTATTAATCTCAGCGGAGCTTCCTGGGGAAGAAACATCACAGAAAAGTGGCTGATGGCTGAAAACAGTGCAAATGTCAAGGAGATGCCGCACTGCTGAAGTTTTACAGAGGAGCTGCTCTGTACTGTCAGAAGTCAAAGGTCACTGACTGCATGAATGAAACAAGCATCTTCATAGAAAATGATTTGTGGATAACTACTTTAAAATTAATACCATACAACACCGGTTAAATGTTTAGAATAATTAAGATATTTGAATGTTTTTGAAAGAAGTCTTTTATGCTTACCAAAACTGCATTTATTTAATAAAAAGTACAGTAAAAATGACTGAAATAGTATTACAATTTTAAATCAAAATTTTCAATTTGAATATATTTTGAAATATAATTTATTGTGATGCAAAACTACATTTTCAGCCACCATTACTCCAGTGTTCTAATATGCTGAGTTGCTGCTAAAGAAACATTTCTTGTTGTTATCAATACTGAAAACAGTTGTGCTGCTTAATATTTATTAATATTATTTAAAATTAAGCATCAGTTCTGCATATTAGAATGATTTTTGAAGGATTACCCTTACCAAAAAGTAGTATACTTCGTTTATTTTAGTAAGTATACTTAAGTAAAGTTCAAGTATATTTTTAAATATACTTTATGTAGTAAGTATACAAATATCAGTGCACTAGTAGTATACTTGTAAGTGTACTATTTCAATACTCCTTTGGACTAAATTGGCCCACTTTCTAGTATATAAAAGTATACTTTTAAGTATGCTTTAAGTATAACAGTAGTAAACTTTGAGTACATAGCACACTTGAATAAACTTCTTTTTCGTAAGGGTATGTGAAACTGAAAACTGGAGTAATGATGCTGAAAATTCTAAATTCAAATTGCAATAATATTTCACAATCTTTTCACAATTTTTGATCAACTAAATGCAGCCTTGGTGAACATGGTGAACTTGGTGAACTCAACTATTCCAAACATTTGACCGGTAGTACATTCCCCCAGATGCATAAGTATGTTTTTAACAAACTCCACTATTCCCTAAAACAAAACTGAATGAGAATGGTAATATAAATGCAAAACTGCATGATAAATTGCAATGAACAAACACATTTTCTCTCTAGCAGTATCTCAACATTTGCTGCTCAGCTTCAGCAACACATAACCAAACGGTGAGGTGAAAAGGTTATGTATTATTACACCATATCTCTATTTAATCAGTAGGGAAAAGCAATCACATTCATTGAATGCTGTATCTGAAGCCGGGGATCAGTCCTGCCTGCCGCTGAAAGCATGTGGGATTTGGCACTCCGACCTATTTCTCAGAGTCTGATACACAATCTATGGTGTGCCGATTTTTGATCCCCACTCAGGCAACCCAACAACAATTGACAAACACATGAACAACAGCAGTCAAGGACATCCAAGAGCCTAGTGTGTAATTTGACATGTATGGTATTTTTCCATCTTCAACCGGACAATCATTTCAGAACCGGATACACAAATCTGAATATATGTCAAATATGTAGTAACTATCAAATGATTTATTTTCTCAATCACTGCAGTATTTGAACAGCAATAAAGAACCGTTTAACAAAAATGAATCACACTTCACAGAAGTGAATCGCTTTTTAAACCCGTGCGAACGAACCGATTCACTAAAATAAATCACACTTCCCACAGGTGAATCACTCTTTGAACCGTGGGACAGAACCGATTTACTCAAATAAATAACACTTTTCAAATGAGACTCCCTCTTTGGACCACATAAAGGAACTGATTCAGTAAAATAAGTCACACTTCCCACAGGAGAAAGTTTCTGAACTGACTCGAGCCTCTGGATATTAATGGTCAGATTCAGTTCTGTCTTCCGTATGGTTTGAATTTAATGAGATCAGTTGTCCCAGAGTTTAATTAGGCCAGACAGAAACAGCTGCAGGAGGCTGAGCTCACGGCTGCCTCTGGAAACGCAAGCCTCTGCCAGGCCTCAAAGTCGCTGTTTAAAAATATCTGACACCCACGCTACCTGACAGTCCCGTCAATAACTGCCATTTATCATCCATATCTGCCTGCTTTCATTTAATTACTGCAATGAATCTAATGCAGGGCTGCAGTCTCGGACCGCCCTTATCCATTTACTGTGAGTGTCTCCACAGCTTTGGTTGGTTCTGAAAGCATCCTGCAGATAAAAGATTAATGTTTCTCTTGGTAGAGCAGAGGCCTACAATGTCAAGGTCATGGGTTTGATTCCCAAGTAACACAAATCATGATAAAAATGTTTAACTTGAATAGCCAAAAGTGTCTGCCAATGCATAAACGTAAATGTAAATCTGGATAAATGTACATAATAATGGTTCACATGATACACACATACTAAGTAGACACATATTTCATAAAAATCTGCCATAAACATCTCTTCTGCATTGTTATTAAATTAAATCAGCCCCCATTGTTGAACATAGACGTGAAAGTGCACTATCCAGACTTAAATTGTTATAATTCACGAACGCTTTGGAACACAGACCTAAGGTTGGTCTCTTTTTAAAGATGACATTATTGCAGAAGTGGAATCATTTCAAAAAATGAAAGTATGCAAAAGTTATCGAAGTTTAAATTTATTATAAAGAAAATGTACAGTACTAATTTTTTTTATTTCATATAAAATATTTTACAAAATATGATTTAATCCAAAATTGCTAAAGCATTATGTCTAAATAAGTTATGTTCCAAATTTGAAGTTGATACAAAAAAACAAATTGAGGTTCCTATGAAAATTTGTTTAGGCATTATACCAAAAATAGCCACCGGGTGACACCCAAACGCCATTGAATTTTTTTGAATAATTTTTCTGTCACAAATGTATAAATTTCTCTCTCAATATTACTTCCATCTCAAAATATGGAATCCTGAGACTCAGACATTTCCAACGATATGTATTTTGTCAAGATTATAAAAAGTTTTGATTGTAAAATACAGTAATACATTTTGTAATATGACACTTGACACTGCCCACGGGGGAGGAGACCGCCTTTAAAGTACCATTTCCATGGTAACACAATGTCTGATTTCAAAATGCAAACATAGGATTAATTTTGAGGTTTTAAACATTCAAATGATATATAATTTATGATGATTACTAAAAGATGTGATGGGGAAAAAAGACAACAAAAAAAGAGCGCCAAGCGTCCCAGCAGGGTGATGAACATAATAAAATAATCAATATACCTTCACAAAGTGTATTAGAAAAGGCAATCAAATGTAAAATAAATGTAAATTCAAATTAATATACAAAAGGCAGCCATAGGGGAATTAAATTTTTCTCTGTCTGTAAATTGGGATCTTGCACTCTAAAAACTTAAACTATGATTCATGAAAACAGTCACAGTAAAAACTTGTTCTTGACTGAAGATGAAGAATATTGATATGAAATTAGTAATAATTGTACAGTAGCTCTTGAAACTGATCAGTATATTTTCTCCATTCTGAAATGTTTTGAGTGAAATTTAACAAAAATATTGTATGTTATACTAAAAATGTATTTATTTTCAAACAAACAAACAAACAATAAAAAACAAACAAAACCTGAAATAATAGATGTACATTTTAGACAAAACTAACTGCTGGATTTTAGGCATTTATTTAGGTATGTCCAACTTAAACAATCACCTAAGTGATATTCATACATTTTATTAAGGTAGTAGTGTTATCTATTTAATAATCTTGCATGTTAGTTGCATTTAAAGGAATAGTTTTAATAAATGAATAAAAAATGAACGTTCTAATAAATTTACTCACCCTCAGGCCATCCAAGATGTAGATAAGTTTATCTCTTTATCAGAACAGATTTGGAGAAATTTAGATTACATCACTTGCTCACCAGTGGATCCTCTGCAGTGAATGGGTGCCGTCAGAATGAGAGTCCAAACAGCTGATAAAAACATCACAATAATCCACAGCACTCCAGTCCATCAATTAACAAGATGTCATTCTGACGGCACCCATTCGCTGTATAGGATCCATTGGTGAGCAAGTGAAGTAATGCAAAATTTCTGCAAATCTGTTATGACAAACTCATCTTCATCTTGGATGGCCTCAGGATGAATAAATTTGGATGGTCTGAGGGTGAGTAAATTTTCATTTTGGGTATTCATTTAGGCTATTCCTTTAAAATGCAGTGATCACATGTGCTCCCTCAGTTTGAACAGGCATGACACTTCTGGCATCACCGTCGGTTTGGCTGCGCCAGAGACATGTTTGAACAGATCCTGATGATTGACACCCTGAGAAATCATCCTTCTGCAGTGTTTGCCGGTGGTATCGTTCAGTGATTGCAGTGAATGACAGACAGAGAGCCACGCTTGCGATCACATGACAGTACACCTGCTGTCTGAGGCACAGCATGAAGTCGTACATTTCCTGTCACTCGACGTCATTGTTGTTTTATTTTCCTCAGTCTTGAACATGTACTTTTGTTCTGTTTAGCATGGCCTACCTCATCTAAAAAGCAAACAATCTGACACAAACTGAGGTTGCTCACAGGCTGAACTTCAGAGTCTGTTCAATATGGATGCTGGACTCTGATGTTAACCTGTGGTGAAAGCAAGGATGCATAAAATCATAATTTACATACATCTGCAACAGAAGCATTGCCCTTAGAATGACTACCAGCGCTGTATACATAATTAAACTCTGAACTGGACCTATATACAGGACCTAGAAAGGGTCAGTATCCTGTGGCGTTCAATTGAATTGCGTTGAATTGACTCACACTCATGAATAACCTTGCAGTGTTGGTACTGACCTTTATAATGACCTTTACTTCAGCTGTCACAATAAATATTCTCTTATAGTGCCTCAACTGCCACAACATCTCCACTTGTCCTGTATGCCCTTCTGCTAGTGTAATATAAAATGTGAATTTATATGGTTAGATGTGTAAAGGGATCAATTGACAGTCAGATGTCACACAGCGCCTCCTACAGGACAGATGTTTAGTTGCAAGAGTATTAAATTTGTATTATTTAGTATTAAAGTGGTGCATACGTTTAGATTAATCTCAGCCCAAAAACCTTTAGGAAAAAAACACTGTACTTCCTATAAACTATTCTAAGGGACATCCATTTGTTATGAAGGTCACATTAAAACTGAGTTGGAAACCGTTAACCTTATATATTTGCTACTTTCTGCCTTTTATGTGTAGACCTTATTCATTTATAGTTCATATTTTTATAGTGTGTCATTTGCAGTCAAGTGTATGAGATATTGTGAAAATATTACGTAATATTGTATCGTTTTCCAATCTAGGTTAGAAACTCATTGTGTAGCCCTACTATAAATATATTGTTATTATATAAATAAATTGTTATCTATGAAACTTTGTTGTTTCCTGTTGAAGGCACAGTGTATAATAATATGATACAAACATATGGTATTATAGTCATTTAGCATATGGATAGCAATAGCATACCCATTTTCTTAAACGCGTTCACATCGCAGATCGCATCTTTAACGAAACGCGTTTGGCTCCTCATGGTTTCCCGTCAATGCGGAAGTGTCTCCATGCTCATTCATACAAATGTAAAATCATGCGTTACCTGTCCTGTGGGTGAAGTGCACTCAAAACTGTCAGAAGATGTTGCGCAGAAGAACAAACGGGCGAGAAGATGCGGACAGTGTTAAACCTGATAGAAAGAAGGTGATGAAACACAGTGAGCTCTGTTAACTTACTCAAGGACTGAATGTGTGTTGTTACCAACAAAACTGTAGGTATCATGGCAATGCAATCTTCTGGACTATACACTGTAAAAAAAATTCCGTAAAATGTACGGTAAAAAAACGGCAGCTGTGGTTGCCGGAATTTTACCGTAAAAAATACGGTAGCAACGTTTTAGGTTTTACGGTTTTAACTTAAATTTACAGTTAAATACCGTAATTTCATTAACTGATATAATGTTAATATACCAACCTATTGAAGTACTGAAATCTGTTTTGTACCTTTGTAATACACTGATAAAGAAGATCTCACTGATGAGAAAGTCACATGATGAACCAAAGCCCATCACAAGCAGCTTTTAAATAATAACATATATTGAAGGTGCACAGTGTCATTCACACAAACACTAAACACCATCATGGTAACACACATGAAACTGAAATAATGCAATAAACATTAATTTAACAACATTAGGTGTAACACACAACCCTAATATATAAAACTGATAAGAAAAAACTAAGAAGAAACATAGTTATTTCAACAAAAAA